TGCTCAAAGGCTGTGCATGAGATAACTGGGGTTGTGAATGTATAAATCTAAGGTGTAAACTGGGCAGGTATGTGAATACTGGCATGTTGTATATGCCACACTGGATGGTGTATGTTGAGCAGGGAGCTAGTGTACACTTAAGAGAGGAGTATAGGCAAGAAACTGGGTTATTATGATGTGTGTACACAGTAGTGTGTGTACAGTGTGGAAGTGTGTGTGTTCAGGGTCCTGAGTGCACGCTGGGGGTAGTGTGCGCACGCAGCTCCTTTTGTGCTTTTGGGGTGGGCTGGGTTCGTCTTCAGCTGAACTGGGCTCAGCAGTGCCCAGCCTTGTGGCCAAATTGCTGAAGTCACTTCCTTTCTAGCAGCAACTTTCCAAGAGGAGGAGTTCTTCAGACCTGGGCTCAGAGGGGGGTGTGCGGAACCAGGAGCTCTCAGGGGAAGGAGGTGGGTGGGGTGTAAAGCTGAGGGAAGGGCCTGCTGGGGCTGGAGGAGGGGAGTCCTCCTGGAGATAGAAGGAAAGACAAGGACAGGAGTCTGGAAGGGCCAAGGGCAGTAGGGGATGGGGGTGGAGCAGGACGGGAAGCAGTCCCTGGGTGACCTTGGAGGGAGGAAGAGAGGGCCGCCCAGCAGGGTGACCCTGGGGTCCAGCTGGAGCTGGCGGTGCCCGCACACCTGGCACCCAGGGCAGGGGGCTGGCAGGGGGCGGGGCTGGGGCAGACCTGCTTGCCAGGTGCCCTGCTCTAGGCAGGAAGGGGGTGGGCGAGGGCTGCACAAAGGAGCTCTGTGTGGCCAGGGGTAGGGTTGGGTGGGGTGTGCTGTGTTGGGGGGGCGGGGGTGAGCCCTGATAGATCCAGGGGGCGGGGCGGGGCTTGCTCCCCTTGGGGGCATCGATGGCGCCAAGGGGACACCTAGTGGTGAGGGAGGGTAGCGCATCTGGATGGCCACAACAGAAGGGTGGCTAGAAGTTGAGAGGGAAATAAATTAGAAGTCCAAAATGAGAACTGATGGGACTAGGACAGTTGGAGTAGACTGCATAGGAGAAGGTTGACTCTCTGGACAACAAGGCAGTTTGCTTTCAAGGAGCCCAGGAAATCTAAATTCAGACTCCAGCTACTCCATGGCATGGCTGTTCTTAAGTACAGAACTTAACGTCTCTGTGCCTCCGTTGAAATGCCAAGTTAAGTGGCAACTGCCATGAGTATTTTCACCATTTTTTTAAATGATGATATTGGGTGGGTGAGGGGCTGCAGGAGGGGAACTTGGGGAAGGGTGGTGAGCAGTTCTTGGGGTGAGGGTGGGCACAGGTCTGAGGAAGAGACTTGATGGGAAAGCTGTCAGCAGCAGGACTAGCCCCTAGATGCAGTTTCCCATTTGAGGACATCCCTGGGACTTCACTCCTGGCTGGGAGGGAAATGGTGTTGGGGGAGGAGTGTGCAGGCTGGAGAGAGGGTCATGAGGCCGGAAGTGAGAGCTGGGGCTGGCAGCAGGGCTCCCCTGGGGAGGCTGTGGGTGGGGGAGGGGGAGGTGACTGGGGATGGGGTGGGCCGCAAAGGGGAGGGTGGGGCTGGGGACTCAAGGATGTGGGCTGGCGCTTCCCGGCACTGTGCACAGCAGGTTGGGCCCCCTGGCAGCCAGCTGGTGTCCCCATGGGCAGGTTTAGACACACTAACCCAGAAGCAGACAGAAGGACAGAAAGGCCCTTTCGACTTCATTCACAGACCAGAGAGGGGGCCTAGAGTATGGCCACTGTGTTGTGGTGGGGAGGGGAGGCAGCTGCTCTCCCTCAGATCCTGGAGGCTGAAAGAGAGAACAGTAGACAGGAGGAGATCTAGCACTGAGTATATGTCCAAAGGTCTTAATGAGTGGGTGGGACAGAGGCACCCACTGGAGAGGAAGCTTTTCTTTTCTGCCAAGATCACACCCTCAAGCTGCAAGTGGGATGTCTCAGAGTGGGGAGACTTGGTGAACCCCACCCTCAAAAAGATGGAATGGTAGCTTCTGCTGGGCATCTCCAAGAGGGCTTCAAGACCCTTGGGTCAGCCTGTTAGCAATCAGACAGGGAGATTCCAGTGTGTGAGCCCTTCCCTCATTTATGAGGTCCTTACCACAAGAACAGGAGTGGGGTTCATAGAGCACCAATTGCATGGGTCTTTGGAGGGTTAAGGGTGGGGCACAGGCCCCAGTCCGAAGCCAGGCAGGGGAGAAAGCCGAATCTGAGGGAGCTAGTAGAGGGTACAATGAGGAGCAGCTTGAGGCCGTGTCCTGAAGCCAGGGCAGCCACAGTGGACAGAGGGCTACTTCGTCTAAGTAACATGGCCCCTCCCATGCCATTCTGCAGCCTGGATCAGAGTCTCTTTGCCTCTTCCAGTCTGTTTCCTCATCTGTAAAATGGGAGGGGCACGAAGTGGTAGTAGAACAGTGTCCCCATTTGGGGAGTCAACTAAAAATACAGATTCCCAGATGTCTCTTCAGATCTATGAGTCAGACTCCCCTGGACTAGGGCCTGGGTATCTGGAATGTTAAACAGCTCCCCCTGGCCCAGACTTTGGAAGCCAGTGGGTTAGATGATTTTAAGGTTCCTCCCAGCCTTAAATTAGACCACAGCTCTAGAAGGGACATTTTCAGGAGTAACTGAAGGAAAGTTGCAGGAGCTGGGAGTGGAAGTAGGTATTGGACTTAGGACAGAATTAGGAATCCTGCTACTTTAGTCAAGTTACACAGCTGCCATGAACCAGTTTCCTCTGTAAAGTGGGGATAATAAGCCATGCCTCCTGGATTGTTGTGAAGATTCAGTGGGTCATATGTTTGGAAGTGCTTTGTAGTTTGCAAACTGCTGTCCTTTGAAGAAGAATGGCGGAGTGTCCCCTCCTATATCATCCCATCCCCAAGACAGTTCCAAAGTCTCCCTGTAAGGTGATTCTAGGTAGGATGGCAGAATTTATATGTGTCTGAGGGGTAGGTCATGGGAATCTAGTCAGGCCCAAGTACTAGGTAGTGGTTGGGGTCAGTCTTTAATACCCTTATGGTCTTCAGGGCTCATTCAGCTCCCAGCTCCCTGAGTGCCCAGGCTCTCTTGGGAATCAGACATGTCTGACTCTAAACCCCAGCTCTGCCCTGATCAGCTTAGGGAATCAGTTGGTAAATATTTATGGAGAATCCGTAGCCAAGGGGCCAGGGGATACAGTGATAAACAAGGCTGACATGCTCCCTGGTCCCATACCCAGAGGGAGTCATACTGAACAGTCAATCACACAAGTAATTGATTACAGTGGTGATAACTATGAAGGTGAAATAGGGCTCTGAGAGGGGCCAGACCAAGGGAGTGAGGCGGGGGCTTAAGGAGCCTTTCTGATGAAAGTGAATGAGGGGTTAGGAAGTGTTTCTATATTATTTCACTTCTTCCTTCACTATCCTTCTGGATCACACTTTAGTTCTAGAGAGAAATCTTCATGGGACAAGGCAGGTCTGATTGATTGCTCCAACCTTCTTTCTTTCCTTCCTCCTTCATCTGTTCATCCATCAACTATTTTTCAAGCACCCCTACGGGCCATGCTGTTCTAGGATACGGCAATAAACGAGAGAGAAATCCTTGCCCTCATGGCACTTACCACTTTCTAGTGGATGTTTTCCTTATCCGTAAAAACGGGTCCGATAGGATGCCATGGTCTCTATAACATACTGAGCACAGTGCTTCCTTAGCACAGTGCCCCCAAAGTAACTTGTCTTTTTGCTGGTTCCCCAGTGTGATAATTAGACCTCTGACCTCAGGTACTTTTCACTGTTTCTCTATAGCTCGGAACCCATCTAATAATGAAATAATTTATGATCATTTGATCAGTCTGTCTACCTGGGCCTTCAGCAAAATAGGCCCTCCATAAAGAGTGAGTGTGAAACTGTTGTTGTTGTTGTTGTTAAGTGCCATGGGGTCGGTTCCGACTTATAGTGACCCTACACAGGGTTTCCGAGGCTGTAAATCTTTACGGGAGCAGATTGCCTCATCTTTCTCCCGCGGAACCGCTGGTAGTTTCGAACTGCTGACCTTGCGGTTCACAGCCCAATTCATAACCACTACGCTACCAGAGCTCCTTGAGTGTGAAACTAAATGATGTTATTTCTCTCTGAGCCTCCATTTCCTCATCTGCAAAACAGGTTGTCCATAGCCTCTACCTTATAGGATTGATATGGAGAATTAAATGAAACTATGCCTAGACCACTTCCAACCCAGCACCCCGTATGCAGTAGGTGCTCACTAAACCTGAGCTGTGATGGTTCTTTCCAGGAGTTGTCTACACCCTGAGGCCTGGGCTCAGGCCGAAGCTGCTCCCCAGCTCCTCCAGCTGACCGCCAGCAACTGGCAGAGCCCCCAGACCCGGGGGGCCCCCTCTTTCCCAGGTCAGCTGGTGTGCACACTAAAGGGAAGGGTTTGCCTGTAGGAAACCAGGTCACTGGGCAGGTGGATGGGGTGGAGCTGTAGCCACTAGACCATTCAAGGTACTCAAACCTCTTACTACCTGTCTTGTCCCACAGAGATCTCCAGTGTGACAGCCCAGGCGGCAGAGCCGAGGGTGAGTAGCTAGGGTTCTTCTAGAGCCCTGGAGATGGCCATGCCCCTTAGTAGGATTGCCTGGCTCTCTGGCCCAGGCAGAGTCCTCTCCCAAGTTTGATCTGGAATGGTCACCCAGATCTAAGCCCTACTTAGAGGCTGGCTCAGAGCTCGATGTCTAGAAGGGGGTGAAACTGGGACTTCTGAGAAGGGGCTTACTGAGCTGATGGTGGTTTGGAAAAAGCAAAGGATCAACAAGAGGGTTGAGCTTGAGGAGGTGACTGGAGTATGTTAAGGGGGTGAAACGGGCTCGTTGAGGACTCGGGAAGCTCATGAACTTGGGTGTTGAGTGAGGGACCTCCTGCTCATCCTTCCCAGCAGGTCCTGGTCCCGGCTTCTCGCACCCTCATGTCAGCCCCGGCCCCGCCTGGCGGCCCGCGGAGGACAAGGTCAGGATGCGTGTGAAGCCCCAGGGCCTGGTGGTTACTTCCAGTGCCGTGTGCAGCTCTCCTGACTACCTCCGGGAGCCCAAGTACTACCCCAGCGGCCCTCCCACCCCCCGGCCCTTGCTTCCCACCCGGCCCCCTGCCAGCCCACCTGACAAGGCCTTCGCCCATACCTTCTCCGAGAACCCACGCCCACCCCCGCGCCGGGACCCCAGCACCCGGCGCCCACCAGTCCTTCCCAAAGGGGACGACCCGCTGCCCCCGCGTGCGGCCCGTCCTGTCTCACAGGCCCGCTGCCCCCCACCCACCGGAGACAGCAGCAGTTCCCGCTCCCGACGCCGTTGGGACAACGGGCGGGTGAACCTTCGTCCAGTGGTCCAGCTGATTGACATCATGAAGGACCTGACCCGGCTCTCCCAGGACCTGCAGCACAGCGGTGTGCACCTGGACTGTGGTGGTCTCCGGCTCAGCCGCCCACCTGCCCCGCCACCTGGCGACTTACAGTATAGCTTCTTCTCCTCACCCAGTCTGGCTAACAGCATCCGTAGCCCTGAGGAACGGGCCACTCCCCACCCCAAGTCTGAACGGCCCAGCCACCCCCTCTATGAGCCTGAGCCTGAGCCTAGGGACAGTCCCCAGCCTGGTCAAGGCCATAGCCCTGGAGCCACAGCTGTGGCCACCGGTCTGCCCCCAGAGCCTGAACCAGATGGCCCGGATTACTCGGAACTGGCTGATGCGGACATTCTTAACGAGCTGGCCTCCCTTACTTGCCCCGAGGCCCAGCTTCTAGAGGCCCAGGCTCTTGAGCCACCATCGCCTGAGCCAGAGCCTCAGCTCTTGGACCCCCAGCCCCGCTTCCTGGACCCACAGGCTCTAGAGCCGCTTGGGGAAGCTTTGGAGCTTCCACCCCTGCAACCTCTTGCTGATCCTCTGGGGCTGCCGGGCCTGGGTCTGCAGGCTCTGGATAGCCTGCCTGACTCCCTGGAGTCACAGCTGCTTGACCCCCAGGCACTTGACTCCTTACCCAAGTTACTTGATGTCCCCAGCTGCCGTCTGGACCCTCAGCAGCCCTTGGGACCCTGCCCACTGGCCGAACCCTTGCACCTGGACTTGTGTTCACCCCATGGCCCCCCTGGACCTGAGGGTCATCCCAAGTACGCCTTGCGGCGCACTGATAGGCCAAAGATCCTATGTCGCCGGCGGAAGGCCGGAAGGGGCCGCAAGGCAGACGCTGGACCTGAGGGCCGCCTGCTGCCCCTGCCTATGCCCACAGGGCTGGTGGCCACCCTGGCTGAGCCACCACCCCCTCCACCACCTCCTACCCTGCCAGGCCCAGGCCCCATCCCAGAGCTGGCGCTGGAATCTTCCCAGCCCCCAGTAGTCACTCCCCGAAAAAACAAGTGCCGGGGCGTACGTCGAATGGTGGTGAAGATGGCTAAGATCCCCGTATCACTGGGCCGGCGGAACAAGACCACATACAAAGTGTCCTCCTTAAGCAGCAGCCTGAGTGTGGAGGGCAAGGAGTTGGGCCTGCGCGTGTCCGCAGAGCCCACCCCACTGCTGAAGATGAAGAACAACGGGCGGAATGTGGTGGTGGTCTTCCCACCTGGCGAGATGCCCATTATCCTGAAGCGGAAGCGTGGCCGCCCTCCCAAGAACCTGCTGCTGGGTCCCAGCAAACCCAAGGAGCCAGCAGTGGTGACAGCCGAGGCAGCCACTGTGACAACGGCCACCATGGCCATGCCAGAGGTGAAGAAACGGCGACGGCGGAAGCAGAAACTAGCTTCTCCTCAGCCATCCTACGCAGCTGACGCCAACGACAGTAAGGCTGAGTACTCCGATGTCCTGGCCAAGCTGGCCTTCCTGAATCGCCAGAGCCAGTGCGCTGGTCGCTGCTCACCGCCCCGCTGTTGGACACCCAGTGAGCCTGAGTCAGTGCACCAGGCACCAGACACCCAGAGCATCTCCCACTTCCTGCATCGTGTGCAAGGCTTCCGGCGGCGGGGTGGAAAGGCAGGTGGTTTTGGCGGCCGGGGTGGGGGCCATGCAGCCAAGGGAGCCCGATGCTCCTTCAGCGACTTCTTTGAGGGCATCGGCAAGAAAAAGAAGGTGGTGGCAGTGGCTCCTGCCGGGGTTGGGGGCCCTGGCCTCACTGAGTTGGGACATCCCCGAAAACGGGGCCGGGGGGAGGTGGATGCCACTACTGGAAAGCCCAAGCGCAAGAGGCGGTCCCGAAAGAATGGGACTCTGTTCCCAGAACAGGTGCCCAGTGGCCCTGGCTTTGGGGAGGTGGGCGCTGAGTGGGCTGGGGACAAGGGTGGTGGCTGGGCCCCTCACCATGGGCACCCAGGCGGACAGGCTGGCCGAAACTGTGGATTCCAAGGGACTGAGACCCGGGCCTTTGCCTCTGCTGGGTTGGAGAGCGGGGTATCAGGCCGGGGGAGCTACTACAGCACAGGTGCACCCTCCGGCCAGACAGAACTCAGCCAGGAGCGCCAAAACCTCTTCACCGGCTACTTCCGCTCGCTGCTTGATTCGGATGACTCTTCTGACCTCTTGGACTTTGCCCTCTCAGCATCACGTCCCGAGTCCAGAAAGTCATCGGGCACCTATGCAGGGCCCCCCACCAGTACCCTGCCTGCCCAGCGTGGCCTGGCCACCTTCCCCAGTCGGGGAGCCAAGGCCAGCCCAGTGGCAGTGGGTAGCAGTGGGGCTGGGGCCGATCCCTCCTTTCAGCCGGTCCTGCCCACTCGCCAGACCTTCCCACCAGGACGGGCAGCAAGCTATGGGATAACCCCAACTGCTTCAGACTGCCGGGCAGCCGAGACCTTCCCAAAGCTAGTTCCCCCACCATCAGCTGTGGCCCGTTCACCTACTACCCACCCGCCCACCAACACCTATCCCCCCCAGTATGGTGGCTATGGGGCTGGTCAGAGTGTGTTTGCCTCAGCTAAGCCCTTTACAGGCCAGGACTGTGCTAATAGCAAGGACTGCAGCTTTGCCTATGGCAGTGGCAACAGCCTTCCTGCCTCCCCCAGCAGCGCCCACAGCGCCAGCTATGCCCCACCACCCACTGGTGGCCCCTGTCTGCCACCCAGCAAAGCCTCCTTCTTTAACAGCTCTGAGGGGGCCCCCTTCTCTGGTTCTGCCCCCACTCCTCTGCGCTGTGACAGCCGGGCCAGCACCGTCTCGCCTGGTGGCTACATGGTGCCTAAGGGCACCACAGCCTCTGCCGCCTCCTCTTCCTCTTCCTCCTTCCAGCCCTCGCCTGAGAACTGTCGTCAGTTTTCGGGGGCTTCTCAGTGGCCTTTCCGGCAGGGCTATGGAGGCCTGGACTGGGCCTCAGAGGCCTTCAGTCAACTCTACAATCCCGGTTTCGACTGCCATGTCAGTGAGCCCAACGTGATCCTGGACATCTCCAACTATACACCGCAGAAGGTGAAGCAGCAGACCACTGTATCAGAGACCTTCTCGGAGTCGTCCTCTGACAGCACCCAGTTCAATCAACCAGTCGGCAGCGGTGGCTTCCGGCGTGCCAACAGTGAGGCCTCGAGCAGTGAGGGCCAGTCGAGCCTGTCCAGCCTGGAGAAACTGATGATGGACTGGAACGAGGCATCATCTGCCCCCGGCTACAACTGGAACCAGAGTGTCCTCTTCCAGAGCAGCTCCAAACCAGGCCGAGGACGGCGGAAGAAAGTAGACCTGTTTGAGGCCTCACACCTGGGCTTCCCATCATCCGCCTCAGCCGCTGCCTCAGGCTACCCGTCCAAACGGAGCACTGGACCCCGGCAGCCAAGGGGTGGGCGAGGTGGTGGGGCCTGCTCAGCCAAGAAGGAGCGGGGTGGGGCGGCTGCCAAAGCCAAGTTCATCCCCAAGCCACAGCCTGTCAACCCACTGTTCCAGGACAGCCCAGATCTCGGCCTGGACTACTACAGTGGGGACAGTAGCATGTCACCATTGCCCTCACAGTCAAGGGCCTTCAGTGTGGGTGAACGAGACCCCTGTGACTTCATGGGACCTTATTCCATGAACCCATCCACACCTTCTGACGGCACCTTTGGCCAAGGCTTCCACTGCGACTCACCCAGCCTTGGTGCCCCAGAGCTGGATGGCAAACACTTCCCACCACTGGCCCACCCGCCCACGGTGTTTGATGCTGGCCTGCAGAAGGCATACTCACCCACCTGCTCCCCTACACTAGGCTTCAAGGAGGAGCTGCGGCCGCCCCCCACGAAGCTGGCTGCCTGTGAGCCCCTCAAGCATGGGCTCCAAGGGGCCAGTCTGGGCCATGCAACTGCAGCCCAGGCCCACCTGAGCTGCCGGGACCTACCACTGGGCCAGCCCCACTACGACTCCCCCAGCTGCAAGGGCACAGCCTACTGGTACCCGCCGGGCTCGGCTGCCCGCAGCCCACCCTATGAGGGCAAGGCGGGCACAGGGCTGCTGGCTGACTTCCTGGGCAGGACGGAGGCTGCGTGCCTCAGCGCCCCACACCTGGCCAGCCCACCGGCCACGCCCAAGGCCGACAAGGAGCCACTGGAGATGGTCCGACCACCTGGCCCACACCGTGGCCCCGCTGCAGCCGCTGCTGGCTATGGCTGCCCACTCCTTAGTGACTTGACCCTGTCCCCTGTGCCAAGGGACTCGCTGCTGCCCCTGCAGGACACTGCCTACAGGTATCCAGGCTTTATGCCCCAGGCACATCCCGGCCTGGGCGGGGGCCCCAAGAGCAGCTTCCTGGGGCCTATGGCGGAACCTCACCCCGAGGACACATTCACCGTCACTTCCCTGTAGTGCCAACTGAAGTGCCCACTGGACCATGAGGTTTTGTTCCTGGGTGAGTCTGGGGATGTAGGTGCAGTGGCTTGGGAGGTGGCACTGAGGGCTGAGGGCATTAGAGCTTGGGTGAAGGGAAGAGGTCGAAATGCGGAATTGCAGGATTTAAAGGTAAGATGGGGGTGGGGGAGATAAGATTGGGACCCAACAACAATGCAGTAGGAGTCTGGAACAGTCTAAGGAAACAGATGGGGTACCTGGATAGAAAACCCCACAGGGGTTTGGCTGTGTCAAATGATCATGTTATTGAAATGGCCAGAGGACTGCAGACTGGATGGGGTCACCTAGTTTGGTTCACAAACATTTAGTTCCCTTGTCCATGCTGGGAAGGAAGGGACCACCTGAGCCCCAGGAAAACAATCACTCACCACTGAACTCTTACAAGGGAGGACATTTGCACCCCCCTGTGTGAGACCAGAGAAGGAAGGAGCAAGTAGAACTAGGTGATCACCCACCTAGGGCCTAGGTGGTGGCCCTCTCAGAGTTTGGTCTAGTGGTGTACTGACCCTGCAGGGTCATTTCCCCAAGAGCTTCTAAGACACATTCTTGAATGTGGTGAGTACCAGGCTGAAGGTCTGGCCAATTTGGTTTGGTCACATCTTCAAGGGTTTTTACAAAAGGGTTCAAAGGACCCTTTTATGGTCTTCCAGGATATTCAACATCTTTGGCCAGAGGTGGGCTCAAGGTAGTCAGGGGCCTGAAATGGAGAAGGGGTCCTAAGATCTTGTAGTCCCTAGCCAACTGTAGCCAGAGGTTCTCTCCCCAGGTGCAGGATGTTTCAACCCTACAAAAATCCAGTCACTCCCAAAGCCCAGTGTCCAGTTTTAGATACTGTTTTCATTAGGAACTGTGACCTTACATTACTTGAGGTCACAGTCCTAATATCATCAAGCTCTGGTGTCTACCGAAAGTAAAATAAGACAGGGGAAATGCCCCCAAGATGGTAAAAGAGGGACAGAATGTTGAGAAATCGTTTTCCTGGAAGAACAACAGCCACAACGGCCCCTTTGGATCCCACTTTTAGATGGCAGATTTGTCACAAAATTGGCCCCTCACCTTCTACCTCTGATGCCACCGAAGCCTCTGAAAGTCTTTCTGAAGAAGCCCAAGGCAGTCACTGTTGAAAAGCCTCATCTCTGCTCTGGGGAGGCTATTGGATGCCAGGGTGGCTCAGGGTCCTGGAGTCATCAGTAGTGGGAATTTGTTATCCCCTGTCTGCCAAGCTCCAGTTCCCCTGGTGCTTGAAAGAGGTAAGGGGCTGTACATGAGAGTCAGGAGGCCTGGGAGACCATTTCCCAATTGGCCACCAACATGCTACATGCCCTTAACCAAGCCTTTGCCCCTCCAGGACCTCAGTTTCCTCATCTGTTCAAGGATATTTACTTAGTTCATCTCTCAGGTCCTTGCAGCTCTGCATGGCACAGACAATGGATCAAACTTTTTTTTTTTTTTTTTTTTTGGCAGCATATTTTTCCTCCTAATGAAGCTAGGCCAGGATTAAAATGGCCTTCCATTCCCCGTGTGCCTCATTGTAAGCCGCACAGCCACAGATCTGAAGCAGGCCAGGGAGAAGCTGCTTAGGGTTTAAATGTCAAACTCTTGATCCTTCTCACTGGAGGGGAGATGTCTCATGGATAATCCAGAAATGTGAAGCTATCTAAAAACTGTTTTCTCCCAGACTCTGGATGGGAAAATGGATGGGGATGGGGGCTGGGTATTGCGGCAGGTCACAGCTCAGTGAAATACTTAATGGAACCACCCAGCTAGGCCTGAATGCAGGAGGAATTGGGAAGCTGTCCAGCCCCATATTCTGGCTCTGCTCCCCTCTCAGGCTGTGAGTTGACAGTACTATCCTCAAACCAATGCATTTGGTTGCTCCAAAGACATCTGTCCAGCAGTTACTACATACCAGGCATCGGGGACACTGCAGTGAGCACCGCAGAAAAGGTCTTAACCCTCAGGGAGCTTCTAGTCAAGAGAGAGAGACGGTAGTCTGACTGACACAAAGCATTGTTGTTAAGTACCGTCGAGTCGGTTCCAACCCATAGTGACCCTATAGAGGGTTTCCAAGGAGCAACTGGTGAGCTTGAACCACGAACCTTGCAGTTCAAACCGACTTTGCAGTCTAGCGCATTAACCCACAGCGCCACACAAAGCATTAGGTGATAACAATGATGGGAAGAACTGTGCAAGAAAGAAAAAGACAGGAGGCCATCAGAGCCTACAACAGGCTGACCAGACCTTGAAGCACAGACCAGAAGGAGTCAGCTCAACAGGGAATGGGATGAGCATTGTCCGCAGAAGGAATAGCAGAGTCTCTAAAGCCCTGAGGCAGGAAAGTAAACTTTAAGGAACTGATGGGAAGTCAGTAAATGCTGAGTGGTGAGGCGAAATAGGCAGGGCCAGATCATGCAGGGCATTGGAAGGAGCTTTAGATTTTATTACAAGACCAGTGGGGAGCCATTGAAGAATTTTCCCTTGGAATGCTATAGGTCACCTTGGAGCAGAGCAAGCATTGAAGTAAGGAGACCTTACTGAAGGGCCAGGCAAGCAATGATGGTGGCTCAGACCAAACTGGTGGTATAAGTGCCCCCCTTCTTTTTCTAATATGGCATTCAAGCTGGGGTTGTGCCAAGAACTGACTAAAATCATGTAGGAGTGAGAAAGAATTGGGGATACAGAGAAGGAGAATGGCAAAGAGGAAGGCGTTAATTTAGGGCATCACACTGTCAGGGCTTAAGCAGAGTGCAATGATGTGAGCACTTTGGATGCTTGGCACTGGATAAGCAGTAATTCAGTTCGATCTCACCTCATGAGCCCCTCCATGCCCCTCCTAATATCGTACCCTAGAGTAACAAAGCAGACATAGCCCCTGAACTCAGGATGTTCAGTGTCCACGCTAAGAAGCTAGGAACTTGAAAATACCCAGTGGAAAGTGGTAGGTGCCCAGAAGCAGGAAGAAACAAAGACTGTGCCCAGGAAGGTGACTGTTGACTCAGAAGTCTTGTCTCTGCCACGTTGGTGAGAAAGGAACACACACTTGTTATGGGGCCTCACCCAGCCTAGGGAGTGATAGAGTTGAGGAAGCTGGTTGTCTCTGCAGAGCTGGCCCATAGTGAGCCAAGATTGGAACCCAGTACTGTTCCCCGAAGAAGCCAGGTGTGCTCTCATACTGCTGCCTTTCTCTGCCACAAAGCCACTGACTCCTTATCTGCAAAGGGAGGGGTTGGACTGAATGATCCTTAAATTCTTTCTGGGTCTGGTATTTTAAATGGATTTTGAAATTGTGGAAGAAGCTGCATTTGAGCTCAACCTTATAGAATAGGCAAATCTTGGACACACAGACACTCATTGGGGAGAGTATTTCAGGCAGAGGGAACTGTGGGCAAAGGCAGGTTACATTCCAGTGTGAATTAGAAGGTGAAAACTCAGAAGGGCAAGAATAGGGAATTGGGACCCAACTGGTCCTGAGAGGCTGATGGCACAGTAGGAGAGGGGGGATGAGAAGGAGGGCAACCTTGGGCTGCTACAAGCATCCTCTCCAGCTCCCTGGATGGAAAACAGAGCCAGACAGACTGGCTCCGCATTGGGCTGCCCATGGGCTGACCAGACCCTGGGGTCAGTGGTGAAAGGGTGGGAAGGGTCCACCAAGGTGTTCAGGAATCTTAAGGGGCCCTCCCCTTCTCACTCAGTCTCTGGCCTGAACCTGAGGCCAGGAGAAATGTCACAGGTCCTCCAAGGTTATGCCAGCTGGGACCTGAATGGGACAAGAAACAGTTTCCAAGGCCACCATCCAGCCAGGGTCAGTGGGCATGCCCGGATCTGGGCCAGGCCCCAGCTGCTCTGGGCTTTGTCTCTGTGTCTTGAAACCTCAAGAAGTCACTTGATCTTGCCTCTGGCTCTAAGCAGGCAAGGGGTCAGCCATTCCTGCCCTGCCTCTTCCAAGATCTCTGCGAGGTCATTCTCCCTCAGATCCTATCTCTTGCCTCTCCCTCAGCCATTTTCAGGCCAGGCCTTCTTGTGCTGAGCCCTCATTTCCTGGAAGTGTAATCTCTTATGAACATGCCCTCTCCGATTCCTCCTCTCCCATCTCCCCACATCTCTGTGGATTCAGAAGAACTGAAGGGAGCAGGCCTGAAATAGTTGGCTATTTCACCCAGACAGGTCTTTGTGCATAGCTAGTTCCATCTGGTAAGTCATTTCTTCTCTCCAAATCTCTTGCGAGAATTAAATGAGATTATACATGAAGCACTTAGCCTAGTTCTTAAAATATACCAACCAGTTGCCATTGAATCGATTCCGACTCATGATGTATGTCAGAGTTGAACTGTGCTCCAAAGGGTTTTGATGATTTTTCAGAAGCACCAGAACTTTTTTCTGAGGTGCTTCTGATTAGACTTGAACCTCCAACTTTTGGTTAGCAGTTAACCATCTGCACTATCAGGAACTTCCCCTGGCACATTGTAAGCACTTAATGATTGATAACTGGGTAGATAGGTGGATAAAGACCTCCCCACAGATTGAATTGTGGGGCCTGAGCCACACACCTTTCTCCTAGATTAGAATCTTGGAGTTGGGCCTTCTTCACATGCCCTCCCTGCTCCTTGCCCTGGAATGATCTTGTAGTGTGGGGTTGGGGCCTTTGGAGGGCAGCTTTCAAATACCACTTAGTCCTTAGCCTTAGCAACTAGGCTGAGTCCTCCCTGGGGGACCCAGGGACAAAGTGAATTATAGGCCCCACCTAATGGACAATAGCACCCAAACTTATATGTCTTAGGTCAGCTAGAAATCCCTTCCACATAGTCAGCCACACCAATCCTCTCTCTTGGTGCACAGCATCTGAAAAACATCTACTTTGTAACACATTACGATTTTTCCCAGCAGATTTACCATCTTTGTCATAACCTTTGTTCTCATAGTGCCCTCTGTGGTAGCAGACAAGAAAGCAGGTTAATTTCATGTTCAGTGTTGATGAACCAGCCAACTGGTTGACCAAGTATT